CTCTTTCTCCTTTTAGCAACATCATGAGTTGAAGTCTGGAAAGGACAGTGATTGGTGTTTTAAAACTCTGCTAATAAAACTAAGAAAAAGCAATCTGTACATAGGAGTTTATTTAGATGCCCACAAGTTTTAAGTCATTCCCCTTTATATCTCAGCCCACTGGATATCTCATCCAACTGAATTACCATTGGGTTTTACAAGGTGATATACAAAATGAGCTGACATTATGATTTACAAACATCCTTTGAGTATCATATAAAACACAACTGTTTCCCTTATTATACAATCATCAGGGCAATGCAAATATAGTCAATATATTAGTGGCTGAAAATGATGGGGCATTTTAAGAAAATAAATTTAACTTTACCACACAAACCTGTTAGATAAAACAAATCCTGTTTAAAAAATGGGAATAAAGTTGTCTGAATGATTGCAAGTAATTTTCATATTGTTTTGCCGCTGTCCCCTTGTAAGAAACATAATAGTACTTCATTTAAAAGACGACTAGTTTTTTCACTGTATAGTCACACTTCATTCTTATTAATCAGTTTCACATTTTCTGCATGAAACTACGAAAAACTCACAAATGTAGACTTTCCAAACTGTAGCCACTATACTTATTTCTGCATTCTTTTCCATATACTCAGTGTGTTTAATTAAATAAACAAAAAGCAAAAAACACTACACAAATGAGCAGAACAAAACACAACAGCACGTTAAAAACGTGACATTTAAGCTGTAGATGCCATCATTGTAGAAATATATGCTTGTTCTAGCGCCACAAACTTTCTAGCCTCATGAAAAAAATAGACATTAGCTGAAAAGAATCTGAACTCTAACCTCAATATAGGGCTAAGAGTTTTAATTTGTATTTCTGTCTAAACTTAGGTACTAAACAACACTGCATGGCAAATTTAAAACTAAATATTTTTGAATGTCATAATATATTAAAAGAATAAATCTGTTTCTGAGCTGTTAATCGGTAATGCAAGTTACCAAGTGTTAAGGTCTCCTGTCCCACATGCCTCTGGTACAGGTGCTTCTGCACTTTGTCATTATGGTAGCAGTAACTGAGAATGGCAGACATCATTATTACTGTAAATACAAAAAAAGGAAAAATTCTGAACTCATCAATGGTGTTACAATTGAAAGCAAATTCTAACCTAAGTCAATTTAAATTACATCATCTTAAAGGTCTCTCTGACTGTTCTATCACTGCACAATCCAGAGGGATTATACCCTTTTCCAGCACTTGCAGTTTCTGTTGCAAAACAGTACGGATAACGACCGGTGATTCTTTCCTGAATAAGTGGTTGAATTGTCAGAGGAACGCGTTTTCAGTTCCACTTCTCATTATAGGAGTCTTGCTGCTGCTCCACATGTTTGTAAAAGAAAGTGCTTTTTTGTTGCCATTACATTAAGTTCATGGCATTTAATTTTATAAACTTTTAAGACAGACTTATTTTGATTACCTCCATTCTGTCCAATCAAATATACCTTCGAATGCTTTAAAGTGTTGGACAGCTGTGAAATATAAGTACTATGCAATTTGACTGTACATACATACATATTTTCATAAATACATCTGACAGGGACCTTGGAACTAAGTATGTGATATCATGGGACAAATCACAACAGGCTGTCTTATTTGTAAAATCTAGATTCAAAGTAAGAAGAGCTGAATTCTATCATGTTGTCAATACACAAATTAAAACTAAAATACAGCATTAGTTTACCCATGAAATAATTTAAACATATTTGCAAATGTCTTGACAGGAGAAGTGTGTAATTTACAACACTGAAAACTTTTAACAACCATTGACTTATATGCGCTGTACTGTAAGTCACCCAGACAAGGCTAGCAAGGATGAGCATAGTGATCGGTCCCAAAGGCAACTCCCAAACATCTTCCTCATGCGGAGACTTTGGCAATTGTCTGTTGTGTAAAACGCCAACGCATACGACTTCATTTCAGGTGTTAACTTCATCAGATTTCCTCCCTCGGCACAGTCCAGTCCGACTACGTCAGTTATTGTTGAGACACTCTAAATCCACCGAGCAGCAGACATTCCCATTCTGCACAGACAAACAAGCAGGTGTCAATCACCTCTGCAGAGCAAGTCACAAAGAGCAAAGGGGTTCCTGGCACGCAGAGACAGATGCATCTCTGACACATCTACCGCGTACAAAAATCTGCCTAAGCCATCACCCCAGGGTGTCCTCATCGGTCCGAACTCTGGTGCCTTTCTGAGGAGGCCAACTTTGCCAGATAGCACTGAACTGGCCTGAGCTACACGTGAACTAGAAACCTGGATGTGAAAGACTCAGTGGTCCCCATAATAACAAACGGCACAGCAATGGCAACAGAGGTGATGGCGTTTTTCTCCCATGCAAGAAAGTTAATGGAGAGAGTTTGGATGAGATCCATGCAGGGAAGCTTTCTGTTTGTCTGAGATTAGCAGATAGTTCAGATTCTTGATTCATGGCAGATATGGGGGGCGTGGGGTGGGTAGGGCAGGGCATGGGACTCACCACCATACAACTTTGGAAGTTTAATTCACTGTTAACTGTCTTTCTGCAATATCCAATCATTTACAAAACTATCTTATGTAATAAAAAACTACAGCAACCACCAAAACCCCAAATGAGCAATTTTTTTTTTTCTTTTTTTTTAAATCCAACACAAACCAACAGGAAAAACTCTGAAGAATGGCAGAAAAGCTACCTTCAGTAATTTAAAGCCCTGGAGCAACAGCTCAGTTTCCCACAGTGAACTGAACATTTTATCTAACCAAACCAACATTTTCATAACTCTGGTATCAGCGTAGTGGGGTCATCACTGCATGGTGCAAGGGAGACAGACCGCACTTCTGCATTAGAGCCAAGGGATTAAATACATCTTGATGAGATCAGGGAACAGAATCTGTGACATTCCTTCCCACTTCTGTTATGGGAGTGCCTTCATCTCTGAGCTTCAATGTGCTTCTACATGTGTATTTGCTGGTGAAACTTTTTTTTAGTGTTTTTGTCTCTGCTCACCAGCTCTGTAATACACATTTTCATGAACATCACACATTAGGCAATTATTGTATTAGCCTAGATTCACAATGAGAATGCCTGAAGGGCTCCTCAACAGAATGTCTGAAAGTTGCACTCGGATATCACACATCTGCGCTGAACACGTTCAACAAGCACAGAACTGTTTTGTTTCCACCCTGCAAAACACTAAAGGCATGGGTTTTCTGTAGGCCTCTGCCCTCGGGTTTCATTTACTTCCCCAAGATCTGAATGTGAGCTTCCAAGGGCAGAAGGTGACCCTGCTTTTATGCAGCAACATACGTGTCCATTACCGTTCCACCTTGCCCATCGTACCTTGCATTTGCAGGTTGTACAGGGAGATCCCACCATTGTCCATACAGCGCCGCTGAGTCTCTTGATTCCATAGCCATCTAGACAGGTTCTCCTGATGTCGTAGGTGATGTTGTCAGCCAGACAAGGGTCACTGACACAGTGGGGACAGCACTCTCCTTCCGAGATGGCTGTGTACTCGCAGTTTAGATTCGGGCAAAGAAGAGGCCAACAATCCACCTCTCCTTCCTGTAAAAATTGAAGGAAGGCTCATTGAATTTGTTGCCATTTATTACCTATCAAGTAACATTGCATCCTGTTGAATGGAAAAGTTTTATTTTGCCAAAAATTGAAATAAACTTAATGGATCAGCTCTCCGTTTGGTTGACCATATAAACGCAAGTTTGAATACTGAGCTGAAGTCTCCTAAATGTAGCAGACTGACATTTGGTTGTTTCTTAACTAAACACCACCACCGTCATCATCGTAGCAGGGGAACTTGAGCTCTTTGGGGTTTTTAAAGGCAGCGTTAAATACTGGGTTCCAATGTTTTCCATAAACTATAACTTTTGCGGTGATCACCTTGCAGACTCATGCACTCTGTCTATGCCTGGTCACATAAACATCTCTGCGGGCCCACAGCAACTGTTTAAATAGAAAATTAACACTGCAGATAGATGTAGGTTAGTATGTTCAAGAAGCATTGAACACTGATCTAATTAGCAACAGCCAAAATTGATTATACTGTCAACTCCTAAAGGAATTGTTAGAGCAATACCAGTTGTGTTCCACTGAGTCATTTTATTTTATTATTTAGCTTTGTCAAAAAAGCAGTTTAGTAGACAGACACATGGAGAAGAGAGAATCATCAGGTCACTTGCGTAGAGTATTACTGTGTGCGTCTACACTTAACCTGCAAAGGGCTCCAACAATTTGCATTATGTTACTCTGAGAGCACTTCAGATGTTGATCATCACTGCACAGAACCTTGCATGTAGCACAGATTTAGGGCATCGCTGTCTTTTAGCTCTGTATGTTAACCCAATCGTAAAATTAGGCAAGGAACTGCCAGCCGCACACTCGGTATCCGTTCTAACACATGTCACATCTAATATTTGCCCCTGCTGCTGGCTGCAAATGTTTCTTGCTGTTCTTTTGTGAACATTAAAAAAAAAATAAAAATCTCAGGAGAATACAAAATACAATACTTACTGCAGTATATTACGGATAATTATCTTTTAACAGTAACTTAGCTTTGAATGTAATTTGTTTCCTGATGCTCAGACACCTCTTGATTAATATCATATAGAAAGACTATGTTATACAGACAGCTATAAATGGAAAACTGCTAATTTTAATGAAGTTCAGTGCTGCACTAATTAGTATATCTGTGCAAAACTTAGAGCTTTAGGGAAATAATCTACAGTGCCTAATGAGAAAATAAATGTTCTTTATTCTGCACGTACGTCTAGCAATTTCAGTTTTCTTTATCCTTTTTTCAGTTAATTTTTGCTAATTCACCACGTGGCACTGGCACTACATTTTCCCAGCATTTGCTGAACGAAAAAAAAGAATTGCATTGTCCATTTTGATAAGACAGGTACACCAGCGGACGTAATTAAACGCTGAAACGCCTCCAACCAAATCCACCAAAAAAATTTTAAAAGTCATTTAAAGATCAGATGACCTTCTAAAAGTTCTCAAAAGCAGAGTAATGCTAAAGTTAATATAGTGTCAAGGTTTCCAAGCTCTTACTTTTGTTCATTAGACCTACTTATTCACCAGTAAGAGGAAAACTCATGGAGTAGCTTTCAGTTCTCTGATGCGCTTTATCATCATTCCCAGTCTGAAAAGCAGGTGAAGAAAGAGCCAAGAGCCTGCCTCCAGGTATGCTTTGCTAAAAATCATAATCCTTATTAGCCTTGCTCCCTACCAAAACACTTTACCCATACCAGGCAACGGCACTGCTGACAGCTGTAGGTCCAGTTGTCCCCACTGCGGTAGAGCCTGTGTCCAGTTTGGTCGAGGCACTGGCTGGTGACACGGGTGTCACACTCTGGGCAGCAGAAGAGATCAGCGCTGGGGTTCTTGCAGTCGCAGGCTGTCCTCCGGCAGAAAATCCTCCCGTCCTGCGAGGACACATTGCCCTGATGTCAACCACACACTGCCAGACAGCAACCCGGATGAGCTCACAGCATACGGACATCAAATACCAGTATTGCCCCAATTTCTATCAGTGCATGGATTCAATACTGTCTGAGCCTGAGAACACCGTTTTCCTGTTTCCAGCTAATTGAATTTAAAAGAAATCAGGATCTCAGAAGAAATATAGTGAAGCTATTTCATATCTCATTGGTTACACCAACAAACTCTTCAAGCAGTTGCCACTCTAGCACATATAATTTTGACTGAACGTATCACTGTGAAGGAAGTAATTTTATTTTATTGTATTTATTTTTTCTTTTATTAAAGGAATAAATAAATCGAAGTTATGAAGGTGGTCCCTTTAACTTCACAAAAGACAATACAGCAAGATCATAGTAGCACTAATCATTCTCCACTCTGAATTCACCACTGGTTCTGTTCCACATCTGGACCTACAGTACACCAGCTTAAAGCTAAATGGACTTATCATCCATTAGAATTCAGTTCATGTATTAAAGAGGGCTTGTATTCCACAGGCTCTCCAAAATATGATTTTGCTAAATATTTGCTTACAGTATTGGATCACCCATTTTGTTAAAGACCATTAAACAGAACTGTTTGAGATAAACAGAAGAACTGTTTCTGCATGTAAAGAGGAAAGGAAATACTGTCTTTGCATCACAGAGAAACAAATTGATTCTAATTCTAGTTATGAAAATTGGATGGACTACCATGTTTGAAATGATACCCTTTACTGTAGGTGAGCCAACATACTGATATGCTGCATGTACTCTGGGAACTGAAATCACACTTAACAATGAGGAGATTACTGAAAAGTTTTGACACAAACTTTTTTGCATTCAATGCTAGTTATTGGACTAGTCCTTATTCAAGCAAAGCGTCCCTTGCAACCTATTTGAAAGCAGAGCTGCGAGAGGAACGAAGTTATATTTTGCTTTGGACCACAACTGTACAACTCCTAAAACAACCCCACTCCTTTCATTGCAGTTTTTCCGTATTCTCATCAGAACCTTCTTTTGAGTCTATAAACCTGTATCTGATGTAAGAAGGAAAGGAAGTTTTTCATTGCCACCAAATAAAGGGATACTTATCAAAGCAAGGGCACTTATTTCCTCTGATCCTTTTAAAAAGTTAGTACTAAAAAGAGTGAGAGGAGCCCAGGATGTCTTTTCCACAGGCAGTAACCACAGCACGTAGCATGGGTGGTTGTTTTGATGTAGGAATCTGTGTTTGGCTCTTGTTTTTAAGCAAAGCCAGTCTTGGCCACAATGCAATATGTACAAAATCAGCATCAGGGAATCACAATACCCATGTCAGTCAGTGTCACTGCTGCATTTCATCACAGTTTTGAATTGATTAGAATGTTACTTTCTGTTGTAAGAATAATTAAAATGATTTCTTATGCCTAACAAAAGCAATGAAAAAAGCTGAAGAGAACACAGAATTATGGAAATGCAGAAAACATGCTAGGTTAACATGGATCTGAACTGCTTTTGCCAACCACAGGGAATAGGACAAGATTGCCCTACAGCCTTTATTCAGTTTCGTATCAAATTCAGGTAACTAAGGATTCTGTACCTGTGGCTAGTTTGCTGCTTTAGCTGTGGGAGAAAGAATAACCAAGCTTTATTTCTTTACTCAGCAGTTTGAGTAAATTGTACAGTATGGAAGACTGGCAGCGGCCCGTTTCCTTAGCCAGAGGTCCAGACAGGTCCAGAAGCAATGCTGGGAATAAATTCTCTCCACAAAAAAAAAAAAAAAAAAAAAAAAAGGAAAAAAAGAAAGAAGTCATGCTCCCCTTTCAGCAAGTTGTGAAAGAAGAGAGCTGAAAGCCTTCCCTGACGGAGAGTTATGACTAAATAATTCCTGGAGGTGGGAAAGCACAACCTTCTTCCACCCCTTGCTGAGGGCAGACATCAAGCAGCAGCTCAGCACAAAAGCCCTGCCAGGCTGACGTGGGGTTGTGCCAGGCATCGAGGCAACCCAACGCCCTCGCAATGGCGGTCTCTCTCCTCTCCACAATGGAGTGCTGATTAATAATGGCTAACAATAACCTGTCTCCTTAGTTCCGATTCAGTTTCCAAGCTCTCAAGATTAGTTTTCAAATTCCCCTTTCAGCTGGTGACAGTGCCAGTAGTTCTGTGCTTCTCTGAGCTCCTGTGCTGTTACCTCTGGGGAGCAGCTAACCTTTTGCGTTGCCTTTACTCTCAGTATTTCAGAACACTGACAAAGCCTGATGATTTTGCCAGAGACCTTTCGGTAATCATAATCCACTGCTACTCTCTTTATTCTTTAAGCATCTATGTTTTATCTACAACCTCATTAGTTCCATGCCTTTCAAAACACATTTTTATCCCTATACTGCAGTGACACAAAGCCTCTCAAGCTACATCGTCTCACCTGCATCTTTGCAGCTCTATAGTAGCATTGAGAAATATATAGAAAATTCAGAAATATATAGAAAGTAACTTATTTTCTTTTGGTGGGTAACAACATATAGCATCTTATTAGTACCTCTCCCTCCCCACCTTCCTCACTGAATCAGTTCTACATGCTCCGTCAGTGGTATGAACACAAAATTGTTCCTACCAAAGGAAACACTGATACACAAGGGAATCGTTGTAAAGGGTGATTCAAGTTTCCACAGAGCCCCAAAGCCAATTTGGACAGAAATCAGACCCTGCAGAAACCAAACCACCAAACTGTTCTCACCCTCAGGAACACACTTCATCTTGGCACATCCCCCTGTTCCCAGCACTGTGCTTATCCCCCCGCTTTTTTCATACAGGGAATGGAGGGCTGTCTTAATTGGGGAAAGACTCGAAAGCCCACATATAGCCAGACCGTACAGCCAGGCTTAGTTTTTTCATGGGAGAGCAACAGCTCCCCACTCCAAATTTCTACCAGTCTTAAATTTGATTGTGTATTAAATCCACAAGAGTTCAGGAAGATGCCTGTAGCAGACACATCAAATGTACTTAAGGTACTACATTAATTTATAGTTTTGGGAATTCATGTTTTTGTAAACTGTATGTTCATTCAGATGAATGAGGATGGTTTGAAGAGGCTGGGTCTGATGAAACACTGAAATAATTCCCTGTGCTTCAATAATGACACTTTGCCTCATTATTTAACTGAAGTATCATAATTTCTCACATTCCATAGCATCCTACTCCACAAAGTATCCTACTCCACAAACAACCTTGCTTAATGAACTTCAGAGTTAAGCACGGTATTTAATTTCCTTTGTACCAGATTTTAAATTAAAGTATTTTCAAGATGGGATCTACGTGTTTCGGCCAATGCACAAAATATACCCACCTAACCTTTCCTAAAATAACCATAAGAAAAGCAAAACGAAAAGAAAACACATTCTTTTAAATCTGGAATGCTGATTTGTCTCCTAGATAAAACGAGTAGGATCACTTCAAAGTCTGAGCAAGAAGCATAAGGAATGATTTAGTTACGCTCTGCCTTTTTCCTCACTGAACACTGAGCAGGCTGCAATAAGGTCAAGCAGGGCCAGCTCTCTGTGCAGCTGCATGAAAAGAGAGTCCTGCAGCAAGTTTGCGAAGTAGTCTGCTGTATTGGAAGCTATCACAATTTATAAAAATATGTTTCAGTAACGTATTTTGATAAACACTGAGTGGAAACTTTACAGCCTGCCTGGGATATGACAGAGGAGGAGCTCTCCCTGTTTTCCCTGTTCTATAGATAAGAATTTAGCTCTTGAAACAGGCAGCTACTGGAATGAAATTAAATGCAAATGTTAATTCACAGAGGAAAACACTGGAAAGTGAGGAAGACATAAAGGAAGAGTCATAGCAACAAACAGTGCCAGGCTTAGTTTAAAATATCTATGTACTAGTTAATCATTTTGTATATTTTCAAATACTAATAAGAACATTCAACATAAGAAATAAGTGCAATGAGAAATGGCAAATAAAACAAATTACAAACAATCTAAAACGGGAATACTAATAGTTATAATTCTGCAAAGGCAGACCAGATGTCTTCACATATATTAAACTGTTCATTCTATTGACTGGAAATCCTTTCATAAGCCAGCCAGTTCCCCCAGATTACAATAAAAGCTTGATATATATTCAGTGGAGTTGTACACTTCAGCTTCTGAAGGGAGGAGTTTTTGGGAGCTTGAGGGTACTTGAAGTAAAAAATATAGCAACTAACAAGAACATATTCCCTTCTGAGCCCAAAACAGCAGTGTACTTTGTGGGTTCTACTCACTCTAAAGTCTTAATTTTCCCTGCTGCTGCACTGTTGCAATACAGAAATGATGAGGCTTTCAGCTTCTTGCAACTCCAAAGCAACTCTTCCCCCCCTGTCCCCCTCAAACCCTCTAATGCTTCTCTGGCTTATAAGCATTGAGACATGGGGGTTGACAGGCCAGTTCTCATGCTGTGTGTTCAGCTTTTCACAGTGGCCAAAATCTCATTTTACTTACACTTATGCAAGGGCCCATAGTGCTCTGCTGTGTCTAAGGACAGCCTTACCAGTGCTATGAATGCATCAGGTTGAAGTGGCCATAAAAGACTAACCAATTCTCAGATCAGTGTGTTTCTAAAATTCTAATTTCAATGTCAGCATTTCTCTTTTAACTAGTGAAAATGAAGAAAGCAGAGTCTAATGTTCTTTTAACTTGGTTACCATACTCAGAAAAGAAATGATAATTTCCAGGGGGAAAAAAAAAAAACAACAAAAAAACCCAAAAAACAAAAAACCCAAAACAAGAACCAAAAAACCTGATCTAAGTGTTAACTCTAAGGTAGATCTACTTATACCTACACCTGGTTTCTCCAAAGGTGCAGGGAAGGCTGCACTGCTCAAATGGGAGAGCTGCCAACACAGCCAGGCTGGGATGAGGAGGAGAAAGGTGGCCTTCACTATTCTTCACTGGAGGAAATTAAGCGCCTGCTGCTAAGTCCTCTAACCTCTGACTCATGCTCACGCCTTCCTTCTCACCCATGTATTCCAAGTAAAGGGAAACACCACCACCAGCAAGATGGCTGACCACAGGACTTGTCCTAAGAGACGCATATTCATGAGAAAGACAAATTGAAAGCAGTTTTCAACATTTCCAGTAAGCGTGCTAATGGCCTGCACATTGTGCTCAAGGGTAATGCAAGACTCTCCTCAAGGCATCTCCCAGTGGCTCTGGCCCACAGGGTGACAGGGCAGAAGCTCAGCAGGGTTAGCCATTATCGACCTGTGTCTGTGGTTGGGCAAAATAAAAACAAAGACGACTTCCCAAAAGAATTTCCCCATCACAGCTTCAGCACCCACAGCAGAGCTTACCTTTTGGCTCAGCACCTTGGCCTTAGGCTAGTATTTTAGCCAACACCAGCGGCAGTGCAAAATTGGGTTTCTGACATGAGCCCAGAGAATTAAAGGACTCCTGAAACCCAGACCAGCTGGATCTCACCTTGCAGGAACAAACGGAGCATCTGTCCTCCCTCAGGGTCCACACCTGCCCGTTCCGCTTGAAGCCACCTTCATGGGGACAGTCTCCAGTGCAAGATGGTCCGGATGGGCAAAGGCAATCAAAGCCTCCTGCCAGGTTCACGCAGGCTGAATCGTTCCAACAGGTGTGGGTCTTTAAGGCACACTCATCGATATCTGCAAAACAGCAGGTTTATAACACTTTGGACATGTTTTTTCACAGGGCAAATTTAATGTCTCTATTAAGTAATTATTATTCATCTGCCTTGCTGGGTGGAAGAGGAGGCCTCCTTTCTGGTATCTTCTATATTTACTTGCTAGACATTAAACACTGAATTTTTTATGTTATTCTTCAGTGTTTGTTTTGATTCCACCAAGAATTCTGAAACTACCTCCAGCGGGCTTAATTGTAAATGCTGAGAGTGACATACCTAGTGGAACTGTGTCGGTGATGAACTTGAACCTTCAGACAAGGGCATATAGTGACTTCCCAGTGACTGGGAACTAGTGAACAATCAGAGTGACTTTCTGTTAATTACACCACCCTCTGGTTCTGGATTTTATACCAAAAGAGAAGTGAACTATTATTCATAAGTTCCTAGCATGATCAACAATTCCCATACTAAAAGAAATCAATTTTCCCATTGCTGGAAGGTGTAAGTGAATTAAAAAAAAAGAAAAAGAAAAAGAAAAAAAGAAAAGAAAATAAAGAAATCAGAGGCACCTTATACAGGGAAAAAAGTCTTAGAACAAAGCTATGCAGGAAAAGTATGATTTAGCAATGACACAAAGAAATAAGTAACAAAAGTAAATCATTATACACTAGAGAAAAGTGAATTACAGTATCTCATTAAAATTGCTTTTGGAGGGTAAAATATAATTACGCAAAATGAATTTATCTAGGGAATTAATGCAGCATTCTTTTTCTTGCAGCAAAAGCCATGAGATTTTTAATCATGTTGTTAAAAACAGGTATTTCTTTCAGAAAAGAACTTTGGACTGTTCTTAAACAATATATTGACAGACTGTCCAGATAAAATAACAGTAAACTGGCGAGTCTCTTTTGTTCCAACATGAACAATGAAAACCGTAAGCAACAGTGGGAGGAAGGTTGGACAAGAAAATCCTTTAGAAGTATGTGATGGTTTCTGTCATGAAAATTCCAGAATGCTATTGTATGAATTCAGAAATTACAAGGAACAACACTTACATTTACATTTAAAATTACTTTATTGCTAGCATGAAATTTATAACTGTTTAATAGTTCCCAAGAGTACTTTTAATTCCTCTCTAAAACAACATATTTAAAAATTCAATAGAATTTACCAAAACCTCCCTCAATTACCTAAAGTTTAATTTAGGTGGGATGCCATGGCCAGTTGCCTCATTTTTTGGACAAGTGCCATGGGTTCAAGAGTCATCTCCTCAGAAAGCCAGATCTTAAAAAGATGTTAACGATTCTCTCAATCTGCTGAAGGAATCTATAAAAATCAAATCACTAAATTCCCTCTGACCTGGTTAGTAAAATTCTTGATTTCAGTTTATAAATAGTCCAGAAACAAGTGGAAACAGAATCACAGAACATTAGGGGTAGGAAGGGATCACTTAAAGCAGGTCACACAGGAAGGCGTCCAGGCAGGTTTTGAATGTCTCCAGAGAAGGAGACTCCACAACCTGTTCCACTGCTCTGTCACCCCCACAGGGAAAAAGTTTTTCCTTACGTTAATATGGACCCTCCTATGCAATTTGGGTTTGACCAAATGCAAAATCAACCTGCACAACCAAGTCAGGGGCCTGGGCTGCCAGAAAACGGCAGTTCTTCTCTCTCCCTGTAGACCCAAAGAGAAGCTGGAGGCAATTGCACTACAGAAGGGCTTCGCTCCTGGGCTAACCTGTGGGACAGTCCATTGTCAGAGATGTTCCCAGCAGCCTGACAGCATGATTCAACTGCTCATTGCTCAGACTTTTCTAAAAATGGTGTCATTTGCTGCCCTGACAGTCTTAATTGCCCAAAAAGAATGATTGCTCTAATGCATAGCTTAGCACTAACTGAGTACTTGAAAGGCCCACTATCAGTGGTGTAAAGGCACTATACTAAGAGAAATTAAAACTTGTAGCTCATTGTTTAACAAGTGCCAGAGTATCACAGGAGGTAAAAACCACAAAGAATGACACAAAGGGGTATGAATGAACTGGAATGAAACGAAGTATACTACTATAAGACTTAAAACATTCTTTAAAATATCCCATTTCCCTTTCAATAGACTTTGACTTGTATTTTATGTTGAAGACAAAGGTATAAATGAAGCATTCGCTTTGTCTTTGGTGATTTCACCAAGCATCGTCAATATTCTCTTCCCCACCATATTAAGGGCTCCTTGAGTAGCATACACACAGGACGTAGCAGGATCACAGTGCAGATTAGAAGGGTAGCTTTTACAGTTCAAAACTAAAAGGATTTCACAGATGAATATAAAGCCATACTGCCTACAGAGTTCCATGTAATTGCTTTACTTATGACACAGAAATCTAATTCTGTTTCCATGTAATTTAACAGATTTATGGAAAGCCAGATGTTAGCAATTATAGAAACTAACATTATTCATATTCTCAGTAGTACGGACCCGTTCACACTGCACAAAGCCAACTCAATCTGTTACACACATCCAAAACGGAAGAACGCTCTATTTACATACTGCTACTGCTCTTCCCTGTTCAGCACACACAAAAAGGATGCCCCTATTAAGAGTGGCCCAAACTAGTAAATGGGACATTCTTGACAAAGAAGCCAATCAAGTGAAGCTGAGTAATATAACGTGAACATAAATTCCTAATTGCTACTCAGTTTGCTCTTTTTTTTTTTTCTTTATTCAAATGATGGTTTCTTATTATTTTATGGCATTGATTATTTAAAATTTTTACTCATTAATCAAATACAAAAGGCTTGGACACAGCACTCATTTCCAGCTGAACTTTTAATAGAACTAATTTTCTGAGAACATCCCTTTGGCAGTTTTTTCTTGTCACTGACTGCATTTCTAAAAGTCAGAAGAAACAGCCAATGTTCCCAGTAACTTGAGGAAAAAGAAGTTATAAGCATAACATGTTTTTGTCCCTTTCACTCTTTCAGCCTCAAATCAGATTGGGGGGGTGGGGAACAAAAAAACCCAGACCAATATTGCTCCCATATTGTTAGCTCAAGAAAGTATTTTGAGTTTAATGGAGCTCAAATGAACTTGCTAATGTTGACATGAGATCAGTATGTAAATGGCTATGCAAAACATGGAAGAAAATACTCATACATAATGTGAAATTTCTCTTAACAACTGGAATTAATGTGTCTAATCTAGTGTTGAAAAGTTAGCCTAGTTTAAAATTCTGAACATGTCCAAAACAATCTTCTATCAAATATGAAAATCTATATTTTGCATATAGATTATTTTTATATTATACAAATCCTTGCTCAGCTCAAATTCCCACACTCCCATCAGGTTTCACTTGCTTTTCCACAACTGCTCTCAGAAGATGCGGGCCCAAAACTGGAATGTTTAGCGATGGGCAAAACCGTACACAAATCTTATCTCCCATTATAACAACACTAGGTAGGAAAAAGATGAAATGTTCATTTACAGATCAAGCAACTTTGAAGAACAGTGGACAAGTACATATACAAAATAGCAAGGAGAGTCCATAGCCTTTCCCTATATATGACACAAGAACAAGACATCTGTCTTGGCTGTTGAGGGGATTAGTTCTTTCACGTGTCCTGTCAACCTGTGAAAACAAACCCATTTTCACACCTGGAACAGGACTTTACAGACTTATTCGTTATATTGAGGTAATCTCTGTCAGACTACTAATTAAGCCAAGTAAAAGTGGCAGAGCTTTGCTCCCCACCTCCACACGGTTCCTTTTCAAGGAAAAGTAAGGACAGAGTAGAAGGGACCATAATCAGAGACTTCCTGGTAAAGCTGGCCTGATGCTATTTGCTATCAGCAACGTACAGCCAACAGCAACGTGATTGCTGCTGAGACACGCCACCTCCAACATTGCACAGGACTATCATAAAGGTTAGCAAACACTCCTAATCTGTGCTGCTTTAAACAAATGTACAGCAACAAGTACCTGATCATACGTATTTTAGCTGCAATGCAACTAGTCACATTTGTGGCTGGGAAAAGAAAGAAAACAAACTACCCAAGATGTGCTCATTTCCCAATATACTCTCAAAGTGCATAAAGATAGCTTGGTAACGTGGACAGACAAGAAATCAGAATCAAAATGGAGCAGAATGATCTCCTGAGATGCCATTTCCTTTTCCATCCTTTTTGGCTGTAACAAGAAGTAATTTGCCTCAGATATGAGAGGTCCCATGGCCACTGTATTTGAATGGGGTAGAAGACAAGCATGACTGTACATATCAACACAAGTTCATTAACTTGGTTTCACTGAAATTTTAAACCAATCCCTAGCTACTTCTTTTCTTAGATTTCAAGGCTATTCGGGTTTCAATGGTATGACTTTTCTATAGCACTTTAATAAATGTGTGCAAGCAAGTCATGCACCGTGGTGCTCTGTAATATCATGATAAGCTGTTGCAGAAGAAAGAATCCTACTAATGTGCTAATTTTAACTGTTATGGTACATTAAACCATTACAGTATAATGTTAACGTGAAAAATGTATGCTGGGCTCCCAAACCAATGTATGTACAAGTTAACTAACCACTGTTTTGACATATCATTTTTCACAGGCAACTTGACACTTAATGTATTTGCCTTCTTTCTAAATTAGACGCAGTGATTTGGACTCATCTTTGAAAAAACAAAATATCACTAAACAGATTCATTTTTAGTCAGAAAATATTTTACGATAGTACTTTTATTCTACAGAGACAGAATGGTCCATTAAAGAATAGTGCATAGTAAATTACATTCTGAATACAGGATTTACCAATGCTGTCTAGAAAGACAGAAATGACCAAACACAATTACCTTGAAGACGTGTAATGCAACTTTCTCTCAGAATACAAGAATCAAAATTTACTAAATGGAAAGTAAGCAAGATAATTTTTACTTTGCAAGATAGAATCCACAGGCACAGACTGTGATATTATGGGCTTTAAGAAATTCTATGAGCAGAAGAAAGTCATAAAACAGCGGGTTCCAGAGTTGGCCCTGGTTGCTCTGTACCATACACAAACCTGTCTATGTGCCATTCTCTAACAATAGATAGAAAAGCAATTCCCAGGCATATAGGATGATTTTCAAAGGATGGGTCTAGCTGTTTAACACAGAAAGGGGGCAAAATAACCAAAGAACCATCCTCCTTTTCTCTTACTTTCTAATCTAGGTAACAGACAACATGCAGCATATTATGGAGTCTATGAAAGTTTCAGGAACTGATTTAAAACCCATTCAGACTTGACCCTCAAGCACTGCTGCACTCAACTTTTGTGGGAGACTAACACACATGGAGTTTTCTCTCACAACTTGCTGGGTCCTACCTTTTCCAGCTTTCTTTTCCCCACAACAGCTACTCTAACCCTGCAGTGAGGTCTAGCTACACAGCCTTTTAGGATGAAACACATGGTGAATCCTGAGGTTTTTTGGAGGCAGGAGAATCTGCGCTAAACTCCCCTACAAAATTTGCACAGATACTTAAAGAAAAGAAAAAAATAACCAACAACTGACAGGGACTGCTGCCTTGGTTGTTTTTCCTTCTGTACTTGCAAGTACAACATAGAGACTCAGAAACACGAAACATCATGAAAAAATGGTATCAGGAATTCTGTACTCCAGGATCTGAACAGCTCTCTACAGACTAGAAACACGTCACTTAAATAGAGATGGAGGTTAAAAAGTATAATTTAATTTGCTTTTATTTTTTTGCTGTAGATAGCAGTGAGCTTCGTGGGACATTATTAACTTCCCAGAATGCAGCATTTCTTTGACAGTTTTCCCCTTCTTTTGGTTCTGATAATCCTAAAGGTTATCACTGAAAATTCAATGGTGAGGTCTATTCAATGATTACCTTACAAGGCAGCAGTATTTGGCAAAAGGTGCACAGTGCCGAGAAAAACAATGTATGCCAGTTGCTTCAATATGGTATCAGTAGACAGTAGTTAATAGCGGGGTTTGTATCATATGACAAGTCATAGCTCTCTGTAAAGTATTTTTGTTCATTTTCCTTAAAGCACAGCAAAGCTCCTACTAAAAAAGAAAAAATCCCAACAACCCAGCAACTACAGCCTACATGTTAATTGCCAAGCAAACTTTGGTAGCAGCTTAGTATAGCAATTGTCTTTTGTCTGCAAGCAGTATTCTTTACAACATATTGTGGAAGGCCAGTGCCTCATAAAAATGCTACTGCTGGAAATTAAATTACATTCGTTTAATTTGAGCCCACTCACCATCACCTTATGAAGCTGACATCTTTTTTAAAAGCATGGCCATGGAAATATATTCCCTTTTCTGTGCCTTCAGTTGGTATTTTGAGCAATACAAGAATTTTCCCAAGCTTGAAGTGGCCTGGCTAAGTCATACATCCTTACTACCCAAGCTCTGGTGCAATATTATGACCCCCCCGCCACATCTGTTGATTTACACATTTGTCCCTTGCCAGGTGACAAACTCCACTGTTTTCTCCTAGTCAATGAGAATCAAGCTTTTAGAACATTAACGTATCACAACACTTCCCAAATAGATGACGTTTCTTTTAATGCTTCTGCAAGCACTGCAGAGACGCTGCAAGCAATGACTCGGCCCCGAGACCACCTACATCTAAAGGGGGGGAAAGGGAGTTAAGCAAGAGATACACAAACACACATCCAGCTAAAGCAACCGGCTGCTTGGGCTTCAGGCCATCTGTCAGAGCTGAGTGCTCCCTCCCACTGCCTTACGATTTTCATACGTTATATTATTATTTTGAGGAGAAGGGTTTAATCTCTTTTTACTTATGTTCTTAGCCTATTTATTTTCTCCAAGTTTTGTCCTTCAGGGATGAAGAAGAAACATTTCAAAGCATACTGAAGAGCAATGGCCCAAATCCACCTCAGGTACACTCTAGGATTTCAGTATAGAGTCTGTAAAATATGCCAGGACAAAATGCTGTTGCTAAGCAGATGAACCCTCTTTTATCTGAAATAGAGTGAATGACTCTGGCCCTGACTCTAAATACTCCACCACGCAAACAAGCTCTGTAACACAATGAAAGTCAGTGTTCAAGAAACCGGGTTTTAGCTTGAATGTGTCATGTTATCTATCTGTCGTTTGAACCAATTCTTAGTTGCACTTTAAAATAAACATCATCATTTGAAATTTCTTTGTCAATATGGGTTAGCAGAATCTTTTAATTATTTTTTAATTGGTTAACCAGTATAATGAAATAAAATAAACTGGTTTATTCTCTTCCTCGCTGGTACCCTGCAGCAGATGGTTTACAAAAGCTATTTAGTTAAAATAAGCCCGCTAATTTCACATTCTGTTTACAACTTGCATATGGCAAGATGAGCACCTCACCTTACGAACTTCCAGCATGCTGCGCAGGTCAACAGGAGGGCAGTTTGTTTTCACAAAAACTCATCCCTTCAATCTCCGCAGAATACAGAACGTTTTGGGCTCTTTTTCGCTGGGAGGTAGCCAAGTGCCCTTCCCTTCAACAGCGATGCAATGCAAGCAATTTCGACCTTTTTGGCAACTAAGCCCAGCTATGGGCCATGCAAAACCACAGCCATGTCTGTGCGGCTGTCTTCTCCTGAGGTCACCCTGAGACTTACATCTCCTTTGTCCCAATCCAGGCTGACACGGGATGGGGTTCCCCATGGAAGCAGTAGAGGCAGGCATCAGCAATGATGCCAACGCCTCTTCAGCCCCAGTTGCCTCAGAGCTTTTTGAAGGTTATGTTGCTTTGACTTCTCATAAAGTAAGTATTTTCAACATTGCCCTATCCACAACTCCTTTTACAGTAATTAAATAAACCAGAGGAGAACCCTTAACATTTGAGAATCTGTTTAGAAACGTATGACTTTCACGTGGTATTTATCTATTAAGTCACAAAACACTGTAAAGTTTGCCATTTTTTTTACACATACATCCCAATGAAGTTCACTGCTGTGATTTTTATTGAGCTCCTCGCCAGCTTAGTAAAAAGCTAATATACCTGGACAATCCACAAAATATTGGTTTTGAAAATGATTATTGTTCCTCTGTATTTTTAAATCACAATGCTATCTTGTCCCAAGGGTTTCTAATAGTAAAAATCTGTAAAAGATGGGAATGTTTGTTACAAGTAATTTTATGTATTTTTATTACAAATGTTTATTTTATCTTTTAATTGTACACTTCGACTCTTAGAAAGAGCCCTTTGCACTTATGGACATGATAAGGGAAATCTACAGTGATTAAAAAAAAGTCTTTCACAGAAGCAGCAGAAAAGCTTTCATAGACAATTCACAGAACTGAGTAAAGATGAAGCAACTGAAATTCCAAAGAAAGGACATAGAACTATGAGAAGTTGATCTGTATCTCTAGAGAAGTTAAAATGGGATCCTTTCTAAACAGTTTTAAACTAATCTGATAAAATATCATACAGAAATTATGTATAAGGCTTCTGAGAGTAAGTACGAAGGTGGGAAAAATTGTAAGGCACTTTCACTATCCTTTTATTATCACTTACTTGCTGTAGTGGCACACAAGGTCTCATGGCCAGCCAAGGGCACCCGGATTGCAAGAATCAGCACTAACTCCTCATGGAGCTTCACCCTTTTTCCTCCCATAGAAAAAACTGACAAATTCCTCTGTACCCTTTAAAAATTTCTCAACATTCCAGTTTAGGGCCTTATTCTGCAAATATGGTGCATAAAGAGCTTGATGCTATTTGCATAATTCTAAAAATAAAATGATGAAGATGCCAAACAATGCAAAACAAACAAATCAAAGCAACACAGACATACCCCAAATGTGTTCTCACACCGCTCTGCTGAAATTTGAAAATTGAAACCCAACTCTTCCCCTTTTGTGGCCTATTATGCTCCCCAGAAAGCCTACTTCCACTTCAGGTTTTACAGCAACTTATTATGATAAATGGCAAAGCACAGTAAGTCACACTTCGGATCTCTGGCTGCCTCCCTCCTCTAATAACCATTCAAAAATGCGATGCGACTCGAACTAGCACCCACGCTGCGTGGCTGGGGATGCTGACAAACAGAGACACGCTCGCTTGCATTCTCATTTTAGCCTCAAACACAGCAACTGCTCAGGACAGTGTCTCAACAGTCACTCTAACACCATGCAGAAGGAGGAAAAAAAAAGCACTATGCTGATCATTGCTTACCAACACAGGACTCCCCGGAAAGAGAATAGCTTCCATTGTCATGGAAACCGCTTCTGCACTCACAGTGGTACCACCCTGGGAGGTTAACACAGCGTGAATGGTTGTGACACTCAATGATCCCCTCTGCACACTCATCAATATCTGCCTCAGAGAAAAACACAAGCCAGCCAGGAAATTAATTTCCTTTGACACCAATGCTTTAGGTTCGTTTTTCTTGTTGGTTTTTGTTTTGTTTTGTTTTGGGGTGGGGGGGTGGTGGTGGTGGTGGTGTTTGGGTTTGGGGTTTTTTCTGGGTCTGTTTTTTTTTTTTTTAATATCTTCCTTTAATAGAAGGACCAAGGTTTATTATGGTTCCAAACAACAGGCACTTAAACATGACTCACATGACCACAATTAAAAAGAACAATAATACATCATGGAATTTGATACATACAACACGTTCATTTGCACCATGATTTGTTTAAAATGCAAAGCAAACATGCAGATTTTTTTTTTTTTGTTCTTTCTTTGCTTTTAACTCAGAAGTTATATTTCTCTGTGCATACAAAGCGTTGCAGAGCAGGTTCTCCACTGAAAAGGCAGTTTCAGAAACATTCCTGTCTTTACAAACTGTGTGTCCCAGGACACCTTAGAAAGAAAGAGCATTTTCTTCAGGATTTGTGTTTCTAGTGTTCAGCTGTGGTATTTGCAGCTATCTGGCACCTAAGGTGCTCAGAGCACTTTGCAAACAATAGTTATTTTCTTTTGTTTATATGATCAAAATAAACACCGAGTGCATGTATAACAGAGTGTGACAAACAGAAAAAGCAGTCCATGTTTCAGCTGCAATAAACCATTTAGTGGCAAAAGAGAGAGGCAAATGTCAGCAAGTCTGTAGCAATGGAAAGATACAGCAAGATGAAAACCCTGCTGGTTTTATAATGGAGTTTTTAAAATGTGCTGGTTTTATAAAGGAGTTTTTAAAATTTCTGTAACATGGTTAATAGAGACCTCATAATTGCTAGTAACCCTGGTTAATCACGGCTAGCACCTGGCTGCTTCTCCCCTTTGAGCATTTTTCAGCACATTTTGTAGGGCTGTAATTAAAATTAGCAAATTAATTATATGTTAACCTTGCGGTAATTTAAGAAGCTATTATATTTTCATTCCTCTATTTAGCTCAAGTTTTTTTTCCCGTTTTTTTCTTTTTAAATTTTCAACAGTTTTCAGATGGGTACCTTATCAATTAAAATGAATCTCAAATTATTAGCCATTTTCACCCATTAAGACTTTTTTTCTTGGTAATCAGCACATTTTAAACATGCATAAAATTGTGTACACCAAACACACAAATCTGGGAAAAAAATAAGTTCTGAAACCCCATTTTGGTTCTGCAAGTGTCCAAGCACAAACGTCTCATGATCCTGATGTGAGACTGAGTTAAGGTTATTAAGCAACCACAGAGTGTAGCTTTAATCTCAATTTACAAAATATATACACCAATATGGTTTCATGGACTGCAGTGGAGTTATGTTGATGTACGTTGAAATTGATTTGAATTAAGTATTCTTCAATAGAATTCCATTTTCTTACATCTTACAAGCAATACCACAGAAAAGCTCAATTTTTCTTCATTTAAGTAACAATATTTATTCTTGTTGAAATGTGTTTGAGAAACCTAAGCAAATGCCTTTTTCCAGTTTAGCGTTCACCCTCACTCAAGAATGAAGCAAGTTATCTACACAGGAGGGTTATAACCACTATTTATTTCTAGCTTTATTCAGCCTCCATCTAACAATAAAGTTGATTTTTTTATGCTTTAAAATCTGTCACTGCTGCCACCTTTTCTGACTTTTTATTTTGCAGAAGCTAATTTTAGTGTTAAAACACTGCACAAATCTAGCTGTCCATCAACAATGAGTGCTGCTTGCAAACTCAGACACTTTCAATTCATTACAGCAAATGGAATTTATAACCATGATCTTTTCACATGTCATGGCTGATGGAACAAGTTTAATCCTATTTGGAAAGTGAATGACTTTGCTATTGCAGGTCAACTGCAAATGAATCCTTCTTGCTTTCTTCTCTTTCCCACTGTTGAATCAGAGAATGTTCCTGTTTAAAGATTGCTTCCTTGGGTCAGCCCTGTACTGGACCTCTCTCCATTCAATTTTACATTTTTAATTTACAAAATCAATAGAGTTTTCATAAGGTTCATTTCTAAACTTGAGCCCATTTGAAAGTGTATTTGATGTAGGCTCATGGTGTAGGATACTAATTGACTGGTAGATTACTTTTCAGAAGCTTGTCTGCCAGGATACCAAAACTAAGCAGCAGTTTGCTCAACAGAAGAAGAGTGTCAGTGTATGAGTCTCAGTAGATTATGTCAGAAATACATAGAACTATTTCAAGACCAGATGGCTTTCTTATGGCAGTGCTGTACCTGTCTACAGCTTTTGTTCACTGACGATTAGGGAGACACAAACCAATCTCTCAGACCAGCAGAGCTGGGAAAACAGGACTTGCTTTCAGTTGTATATGTTCTTCCTTTAATTCCTTCACCTCCTTAAACCAGCAGAGTCACACCAGCACTGCCCTACCCATGCCAAGGGCAGAGGCAAAGGAGGTGTCGTGCAGGCTGCTTTGGGAAAACCTGACATGGAAGACATCGTGATGCAGAAGCAACTAGTAAAAGAAATCTTCCAAGCTCTGCTCCCTACCACTACCCTCTCCTCTCCCAGAGCCATTTCCAAGCTTACGGGAAGTGCTCTGCTCCTTTCCTCTCCAGGTTGAACTCAGCACTCCTCCTTGCTCCCCAGCTCAGCCTTCTCCTGCCTGTGCATGTGTGTGCATGTGTGTGCTGGAGACAGGCTGGGCTGATGGTGCGGGGTGGAGATCGGGGAAGCAACCCCTCCTCTGGTTCTGCAGCAAGTCAGTATTCCTTTGGCAACATGTCATTAAATACAATATGCATGAAGAGAAGTATAAACAGGGAAAACCATTAGTGGCTTCCCCATTTCTCTGATACATTGCAGTTTCTTATTCCCGTATTTAATATGAGGTACAGAAAGACTAAAAGGGGCAAAATAATTATGATTAGGTCTGTAAGTTTCTCCTGTGATCCTGTGCATCATTTGTAGTACATGTATAAACATATCAGTGCAGGTATAGGAAAATACTATGGATTTGTTTTAGAAATTCAGAATGATTTAAGATTCTTGGTAATACCAAGAGGGAACTGCAAATAAAAGCTTTATAAAATAGTGTGTCATATACCATGACGTTACTTAGCTCACTTAATAGATCGTTTCCATCTGGATGTACTATGGCTTTTGAGAATACTTTTTTGAGGATTTTTTCTGCATAGGAAGATGCTGCAATACATAATGGCCAGTTCAGGGAATTAGAATGAATTCGCCGTTCTTCATCTTTGCTTTTCCATCTTTAGATCCTAGCGCTGTATTTGTACACTTGCCTCAGGATGAGTATCTTTCTATCCGAGTCTGGTTTGGGGTTTTGCTATAGAATTTGAGATATATATGCACTGTTTTTGTGTGTGTGTGTCTTGTGCGTGCAGAAGCTTACCAGAATACACAATGAATACTTTCCTCATGAAGTTATGTTAAGCTGAAAGTGTATATCTCTGATCAGAGAGTGAAAACAGTACAAAAATTACGACCGTTCTTCAAAGAAGCACAGAACCACCTGTTCAGAAATTCTGTAATGACACAGGCCAGAGGAAACAATGGGTGGGCATTCCTTGGCTGTGTTCACATGCTTTAGGTCTTGTCCGCCGTCGGTGCTCCTGGCAGCAGAGTGAGCACACGGCTCTCAGGGCTCCAGGCTCTGCCTTCTCGCAGTATCCTGCCATGGATGGAGGAGCCTGGGTCTTTACATGCACGTCTTCACCTTGTCACGCCACACGGCTAAGCCATGCTCACAGAAGTCAGTGAAAACTCATTCACCGACTCACAAATTTGTATGGGCTTTCTATATATCTGCGTTAATAGCTAGATAGTCTAAAACAGAGTGCTTGTGAGAAATGGACAATTTAATATTTCCTTGGGAAATGAAAATTTTCCATAACCTTAATTTGCCTCTGTAGTCTTCAGCTAAGTATCTGCACTACCTTTGCATTAGTGTAGTATTTTTCATTTCTAGCTGTAATTCAACATAAGACATTGCTGATCTTACCCGCTGTGGAACTATTTTTGCACGTTTTTTTCATTCACGCCTCCTTACAACATCCATGTAAAAGGAGATCTTGTACAGACCGTTCCATTGCCTGCTTTTACCCCGCTCAGTTGTTTAACTGTCATTAGTACAGAATTGTTAATGGATCTGGCAACACTCCACTATAATGGCTTTGCAAAAGCTCTAAAATGGCACATTTTTGTATTGTACAATAAAGGCACCCGTTGGTTTTGAATAAGCTCTTGCAGGATGTTAATCGTGTCCTTTAAGGACAGGTCTGTAATTTTTACTTTTAGCATCCCAGTGTCTTGCATTATTCATAAAGGTATTTATGCAGACAAGATAAATAGGATAATTTACCTCAAAATAAAACACAATGGCTTCTGAAACCAGTGAAAAAAGTAAAATTAAAATAATTCAATCTTTTCTAATGCCTCATCACATTTAAGTCACCATGCGATAATACTGAAAGGAAAACTGTTCAGTGTCATGTAATAGCTAGCAATCTACACTTTCAATGAGAAGAAGAGTTTTATTATAAAAGTGTCTGTTCATCAAACTCTTACTGTGCTTTTTCATGCAAAAAGTATAAGATCCTTTAGCCCTCTGTTGATCAGGAGACCTATAAGCGGGAAAAGCACGTACTAACAAGAAAGGATCACAGAGGTCTCAAGCTTCCTGAATTAAAATCGCACCCTGACAGTTAACTCCGTTAGTTCCAGAGCATTACAGCTTTGTTTTCCACCTTAAGAGTATTTTTCTTCAACATAAAAACACCTGAAAAATTCACCTAGTAAACAGAGGCACAAGTTCTATGTAAAATACAGCCTCCTCTCATCTCCTACTCTCGCCTGAGCCTCACTTCCATGACACAGAAAGAAAGGGATGTCGCTGACAGCACTGTGCAAACAGCTTCCCCGCTGCAAAGGAGTCATTTGACTACTTCAAATAAACCCTGAAAGCAAAGA